CGGAAGCACACTAGAGTCATCAGCATACATCACATGCAGAGCAGAAACAATGGCATCCATGTCCATATCAAAGATCTGAATCTGACGACTAAGCAAACTGTGCCAGTCCGGGAGGTCTGGCGACGGGCCGAAACGCTGACGAAAGAGGTCGTCCAGGCGACGAAAGCAGCGGGGAGTGGAGTGACTGATCTTACCGCAAACGAAACCGCGGCGAGGACCGGTCTGGATCTGGTACTGACAACGCCCGCCGGCAGAGCCACCACGCGGCACACCACCACGCGCCCGTCCACCGCCAGCGCCGGGCCACCCTGGCGGGAGAACACTCGTCTGCCGCGTCTGCGACGGCTGCTGCGGCTGCTGCGAAGGCTGCGACTGCGGCGGCTGCTGCGGCTGCTGCAACGGCAGGGGCGGCGACTCAGCTGGACTGGGCAGGGTCCCCTCGTCCGCTCCAGCACCAGGCGACCCGACCCCACCACTACCCCCGCCCGCACCCCCGCCGCCCCCTCCGCCGCGCCCAGCCTTGGGGCGGCGGCCCTTCCCAGAACGGGCCTGCGCTGCAGCAGCAGTCTCAGCCACTGCGGCAGAGCCGTCGGAGAAGGTACACTGAGCGGGGGCACAACCCTGAAAGATAGGGACCGGCACGACACCGCTCGCCTGGGCGATGGAGCGGTGACGGGTCTCTATCACAGTCAGGGTGTCGACGAAGTCAGTGAGGGTGAGGTCTGCGGGGTGAACACTAAGGAAGCGGTCGCGGGCGACAGCAAGGCGGTCAGGGAGGCGGGTGGCAAGCAGGTAGAGGGTAGAGGTAATGGGCGGCTGGTGGGCTCTAAGTTGTGCGTCAGTGCATGCGGCGCGCCAGGTCTCCTCTATCGAGCGCAGGTGGGCAGCGAGGTCAGAGACAGTGGGGAACGAAGCAAGGTCAGGAAAGAGCAGCGGGAGGATCAGGCGACCCACCGAGGCAGCCGGAGGGGTGGAATAGCGCTTGATGACAGCATCTAAGTATGCCTGAGCAGTAGTGAGGGACCTAAAGCGAGGACGCTCGGACGGGGGGAGGGCGTTGCTAATGGCAAGCTGGGCGACAGCATCGCGAGAAAGCCAGACAGAGCGCGCACGGGCAGTGGCAGCATTAGACTCACGCTCAGTGGGTGTGGGGTCAGCGGGCAGAATAGCAGGAGGGTCTGGGCAGGGGAGCGTACCGTCAAGGTGTGCGGAAAGCGGTTCACCATCCTGCCGCTGGCCAGTGAGTTGGCGGCGGAGGTCGGCAAGCCACGCCTCGAACTCTAGGGGCTGACCTTCAGCGTCGAAGCGAAGCTCCGCCGCCATCAGGAACAGTCCAGTGCTGTGCAGGGCGGTGCAGCTAGGTGGGGTGCGGTGCAGTGCGATACAGTGCGGTGCAGTGCGGTGCAGTGCCGTACTGTGCGGTACAGTGCGGTGCAGTGCGGTGCAGTGCGGTGCAGTGCGGTGCAGTGCGGTGCAGTGCGGTACAGTGCGGTGCAGTGCGGTGCAGGGCGGGGTGGGGGGGGGGGGGGGGGGGGGGGGGGGGGGGGGGGGGGAACCGTACGAGTGAGGAGGACGGGGCGGGGGCTGGCCCGACGGGGCCGGGCGGGCGCGACGGGGCCGAGCGGGCGCGACGGGGCCGGGCTGGGGCGACGGGGCCGGGCGAGTGCGGCAGGGCCGGGCCGGTGCGACGGGGCCGGGCGAGCGGGACGGCGGCCGGGCTGGTGCGACGCGGCCGGGCGGCTGTGACGGGGCCGGGCAGGGTGCGACGGGGCCGGGCGGGTGCGACGGGGCCGGGCGGCTGCGACGGGGCCGGGCGAGCGCGACGGGCCGGGCAGGGTGCGACGGCGCCGGGCGGGCGCGACGGGGCCGGGCGGCGGCGACGGCGCCGGGCGGGCGTGACGGGGCCGGGCGGCGGCGACGGGGTCGGGCGGGCGCGACGGCGCCGGGCGGGCACGACGGGGCCGGGCGGCGGCGACGGGTACGACGCGGCCGAGGAGGGGCGCTACGGGGCCTAGGAGGGGCACGACGGGGGGCCCAGGAGAGGCGCTACGAAGCCCAGGAGGGGCGCGACGAGGCCCAGGAGGGGCGCTACGGGGCCTGGGAGGGGCGCGACGGGGCCTGGGAGGGGCGCGACGGGGCCCAGGAGGGGCGCTACAGGGCCCAAGGAGGGCGCGACGGGGCCCAGGAGGGGCGCTACGGGGCCCAGGAGGGGCGCGACGGGGCCCAGGAGGGGCGCTACGGAGCCCAGGAGGGGCGCGAAAGAGCCCAGGAGGGGCGCTACGAGGCCTGGGAGGAGCGCGACGGGGCCCAGGAGGGGCGCTAGGGGGCCTGGGAGGAGCGCGACGGGGCCTGGGAGGGGCGCGACGGGGCTTGGGAGGGCGGTACAGGGCCCAGGAGGGGCGCTACGAAGCCCAGGAGGGGCGCGACGAGGCCCAGGAGGGGCGCTACGGGGCCCAGGAGGGGCGCGACGGGGCGCTACGGGACCTGGGAGGAGCGCGACGGGGCCCAGGAGGGGCGCTAGTGGGCCTGGGAGGAGCGCGACGGGGCCTGGGAGGGGCGCGACGGGGCCTGGCAGGGGCGCTACGAAGCCCAGGAGGGGCGCTACGGGGCCTGGCAGGGGCGCTACGAAGCCCAGGAGGGGCGCTACGGGGCCTGGGAGGAGCGCGATGGGGCCCAGGAGGGGCGCTAGGGGGCCTGGGAGGAGCGCGACGGGGCCTGGGAGGAGCGCGACGGGGCCCAGGAGGGGCGCTAGGGGGCATGAGCGGAAGCGGTAGGTGGGGGGGGGGGATCCTACCTACGCGTGATACCATATCAGAATAATTGAATAATGGTAAAGTGAGAGTACACACAAATATATCTAAGTTTTGTATCCTCTAAGAGGTGACTCTATACAGTCTATACAAACATGACAAATACACATGTTTGACAAGGACAACTACACCCCTTCTTGTACTTCTCTTTTCTAAACTTCTCGCCACCTAGCTAAACCCTCCTTCCCTACTTCAACATACATTACAAAATGGCACAACAAATGAAATATATGTCGTAGACTCATGTAGGTATATCAAGCGGGATATATGTATGGAAAGCAGGCCCTCAGATTGGTTTTAGGGAGGCTGATTGCTCAGGGTCTCCCATGTGAGAGCCCATGTTTTTCAGGGTCGGGTTATGGGCGTGGCATGTTTTTTCAGGCCAATTGTTTTTTTTAGTCTGACTTATCAGGCCTACATTTTTGTAGTTTCTGATTCTTAGGCCGGATCGGACTTCACTGCGTACAATTCTTCTCGTCAGATTCTTGCCTGATTTTAACAAAGGACCAATCAACCCCCTCACACCTCCTCCAGCTCGCCTGGAACTTGTGTGATTTTGGTCAATGACCCAGGGCTGACGTTTCAAAAAAACCCCCCCTGAGCTGTCGAATAAAAAAAAACGTTTACCCTGAGGGCTCAGGTTTCAAAAATTGCCTACCCTGATTTGTAAGGGTTCATAAATCTGGAACCCTGAAAATCCCAGGGTTCACCGAGCGCGTTCAGGGTTGCCTTCAACACGAGGGGGGAATAAAAAATGGGGGGAAAAAGGGGAGGGAATCAAACCGAGGGGAGGGGAAGAGCGAAACGGAGGGGAAGGGGAGGATGGAAACATAGGGGAAGAGAGGAAGCGAAACGGGGAGGGAAAAAGTGGGGGTTGGGGGGTGGGGGAAGTTCGAAATACAGTCGAGGTATGGGAGAAGCGAAACGGAGGGGAAGGGGGGATCGAAACGGAGGGGAAGGGGGGATCGAAACGGAGGGGAAGGGGGGATCAAAACGGAGGGGAAGGGGGGATCGAAACGGAGGGGAAGGGGGGATTGAAACGGAGGGGAAGGGGGGATCGAAACGGAGGGGAAGGGGGGATCGAAACGGAGGGGAAGGGGGGATCGAAACGGAGGGGAAGGGGGATCGAAACGGAGGGGAAGGGGGGATCGAAACGGAGGGGAGGGGGAGTCGAAACCAAGGAAGAAAGGGGGAGGGAATCAAAACCAAGATGCGAGGGGCGAAACGGAGGGGAGATGGGGGAATCGAAATGGAGGGGAGGGGGGAAACGAAACGGAGGGGGAGTGGGGGGAGCGAAAATGGAGGGGAGGGAGGAATCGAAGTGGATTGGAGGGGGGAAGCTGGGTAATAGGGCGGTCGGAGAAAATTCGCGCCCTAGCAGCGCCCCGGCTGGGAGATCTTGGACGTTGATCAATGTGACCATCTAACGGTTTAAGTATGTCGAAACGATCGCAATCGATCTTGACCGTTACATTTTCATAGACTTAGCTAATTTTTGTGGGTTGTTGTTAGTGTGTAGGGGGGATGTCTGTACGACACATGACTTAGCCGATTTTTGTGGGTTGCTTGGTGTGTGAGGGAATGTTTGAGGACTTCACCAATTTTTGTAGGTTGTTGCGTGTGGGGGGGAATGTCTCTGGAGATTGGGGACTTCGCCTAAATTTCCGCATTGTGAGCCACATGGATGTCGCACTCAGGGTCCGTACGCGTTACTCCCTGAAAACTCAGTGTTGGGATAACGCAAACCCTGAAATTCTCAGTGTTCACAGACATACAACCCTGAAGAGGTTAGGGTTCAAAAAAGCCCAACCCTGAAAATTAAGGGTTGGCAAAAAAATACCCTGTGAAATCAGGGAATCAGGGTAAAATACCCTGATAACGACAGGCCTGCAATGACCAATCACGCCCCCCACACCTGTTGTAGCTCGCCTTGAAGTTCCGTGATTGTGGTCAAGGACCAATCACGCCCCTCACACCTGCTCTAGCTCGCCTGGAACTTGCGTCATTTTTTGTCAAGGACCAATCACGCCCCTCACACCTGCCCCACCTCGCCTCGAACTTGCGTGATTCTGGTCAAGGACCAGCCATGCCCCTCACACTTGCTCTAGCTCGCCTTGGCAGATAAGATTCGGATTCAGGGCGAATTTCGAGTAAGGCTGATTCATCAGGCTTGGTAAAACAAGAACATGCTATTTTTCAGGCCTTAGAAAATGGGACACATAAATTTCAGGTTTGATAAAAATCAAAACCTGAAAAATCAGGGTATGCTCTAGAAAACACCCTGATATACAGGCTTTCAGGCCTTTTTGGCCTGACTTCTGAGGCCCTGATGGAAAGGCACCTATACTTCCCCTTGCCGTAAAAAAACTTGGAGATAATGCAATTCCGTCTAAGAGATTGATTTATCTGGAAATGTACACGTGTCCTGACCTGAGCTTCACATTGCGTGTAAATGACGGCCTTCTTGATAACTCCCAGTCGATCCGCCTAGACTCGCGGCCCTGCAGCCACAAGGTTCAGTCGATCGCGAGCGGGACAGCTTTGGGCACTCATTTGGAATCTGGTGGGCGATGACGCGCCTCGACGGAGAATGGGGAGGGGGGATTGGCGCACTCGCAGTTCCAGCACGCAGAGGGGGCGACACGGGAGCAGAATCAGCAACTGAAGCGCATGCTTCCATGAGGTTGGCGGCGGCAAGTCGCGGTGGAATAGGGCGAACGCGGACCAATGGGTTGAAGGTCACACGGCGATTCGCGGGGCATTTGGACTTTGTCGGAGACGCGAAGCAGCTTACGGGAGCGGCCCGCTGGTCGTTGAAACTCATTGATCGTCTCTGCCGCAAGTCGCGCGTCGACCCGGCGAAGCCCGTCTGACTCGGTGACGCCATGCTCGCCGAGCGCGGCGCCGCTAAGCTCGGCGACTCGGACTCCGAGTCGGCAGGCGGCGTTCCCCATTCGAGGTCCATGTCGAGCGACGAATATGCGCGACGCCGAACGACTGCCGCGTTTGGGCTGCGAACGCTGACTGGCACTGCTCCAGGCCGCCACGAGCCGACACCACTGGGACTCGTTGCAGGAGAGCTTGCGCCACTTGCGGCGCTTGACGCGGACGGAGACGATCCCACGACATGTTGGTAGTGAAGGGGCTCTGGCGCGGTTTCTACTACGATCACACAATTCGGGCGTCTCGTGAGGGCTGCCCTTCCCTGTTGTGTCCACTCCGTGCGGGTTGCAGCGGCGTATGCACCCACGCCGTGACACATCGTAGAAAGCTTTGCGAAAGTTGGAAAGGTTGGTTTCTGGGAATCTCTGAATGGTTGAGTGCTGGAACAATGAGGGAGGGTGTGCTCGAGAAACAGAAACTTGTACTGAACTGTAGTCAATCAATGACTTTTAGGGCGCTGGTGTGGTGTCAACAACTGGTGTGGTGTGTGCGAGCTTCTAGGAAAGCGTGTGGCGGACGTTGTGTGCGGGACTCTAGCGACGCGTGCTGAGTGTGCGGAGAAAATCATCCCCGCCAAACCTAAAGCTGATAAGCTTTCCGTACGGCGGCTGAAATGGTGCGACTGTGGCTGTCGAAGTGACGACGATGTGGGGCATCATTGACATGTGGAGCACAAAATGATGACGACGAGGCACCCAGGAACTCAGGGCATTTCTCTCAGGAAAGAAACATTCTCATTGTACCCGTGGTCCATCTGTATTTCTGTATAGCAAGGTACAGCTATAGCATAAGGAAACCAAGAATGAGGCCGCTAAAGACCACAAGGAGAGGGGATGCGGAGAAAGACAGGTGGGGAGAAAGAAACAAGGAAGAGCAA